TGCATCTGCCTGCCCAGTTCAAAGGCAAAACCTGAGTGCTAAGTGAGAGACAACAATGATCCACCCTCTCTCAAAATGGAATGGGGGAAGGGGTGTTGCATTCTGCTACTCTATTAGAGCAAAGTCTGGAAATTCCACCCGAAACCTAAACAGGTCCCTTCGGACCATGAAACATTCCTCTTCTTCTGTGTTTTCCTGGGGCTGAGCACTCACAGCAAAAGAATCCCCTGGGTCTGGGGTGGAGCACCTGGCTAGGAGTCCACAGGGTGACAGCTTTGACCCTTCCTTGCCCACTCTGTGGAAAGGACACTCACAGACGGAGATACATTAACTTATCCACTGAAATCCGTAACAACCGTTCCTACTGGAAAAAGCTCTCCTTTCTAAGTGATCATTATGTATTAGTTAAAAACCAACTGTAGATATGAATTATGGGGGATAGTCTGCCTTAAATCATTGATTTTTGAATGTTCTACATGAGCGGTATAAACCAATGGTCCTCAAATTTTAGCCAGCACCAGGATCTCCTGAGGGACTTGATCCAACGCAGTTTCCTGGGTCCCACCCCCAGAGCTGCTGATTCTGTGGGTCTGGGATGGGACCCTGGAATTTACATGTTTAAGCTCCCAGGTGATGCTGATGCTGAAAAAAGTAAGTTCAAGAACAACAATGATGAGATGTTTCGGCGGGGGGGGGGGGGGGGGGGGGGGGAGGTGCCACATGTATGAGACTGGGAAAGGGTCTCAAGAAAATATCAGCTTAAAAATGCCAGGAGTCAGGTCCAATATTCATATATTTATAGGTGCTCATTGTGTGTGCAGATTAGATGGTACTAGATAAGAATGAAGAATCTCCCCACATCCAAAATGAGTCTTTCTTCACCGATCAGCATTCTGTCAAGATTCTCCTACTTGGCTCAGGGGTACTTATAACGAAACCACTTCATACTACATGTCTCTAGACATATTCTAACAGGGAGTATTTGTGGTATTTTTCCATATTATGACTAACAGTTTTGGTTTTAGCGTAGACAGTCACTTTTTGCAGCCATGTTATCTGCATGTGGTTCGTGTGGGACTCCAGCTGGAATCCATGTTAAGAATGTGCTCACGACTTTAACAGGTATTATATGAAGTCTGGTCTACTCTACATAGGAAGCTAGCTTTCCTATCTCAAAGATCATATTCCAGGTAGTTTGACTTGACTCCCTTTAAAACACTGTAATTTAAAATTACTCTGGGAACATGAAAGACTATTCAGTTAACACAGGTTCAAGTTGGAAACACACACACACACACACACACACACACACACTACTACTACTACTACTAAATCCAAAAGCACTGAATTTCCCCTCTGCTGCAAATCTCTGAAAATAGGAAATAGAATGTTTCCTTTCACTAAAAGGTTTTCCTCAGGAAAGCATGATTCAGATTATCATAATCACTGGCTTTTCTGATAGATAACATGTGGGGGTTTGTTCTCTAAAAGGGCTGACGGATTTTCTTCTTGGGGGGAAGGGAGAATAGGTGTGTGTGGTAAGCTTCAGGTTATTCTCCTATAAGCCTACCTACCTTCGTTTCTCTCCCACTCTACCCTGTTGATAAGCAATGCGTTAAGTGTTTAAAAATGTGTTCAACTCTAAACCTGTTGAAAATTCCTCAATACACATCTATTCAACCAAAAGCATGGTGGCTCTCTTTTCTAAAGCACAAGTAGGATAGTCTTTCAATGGAGCAAAAATATTTTAAATCAGATCTATCCATGGGTTCCTTGGACTCAAACACTTTTTAAGTGTTCCTACAGAAAGTTTTCTAGCTTTTACAACCTACTGATCTGCATTCTAAGGAACTGTTTTGCTCTAATAAACACAACTGCATTTGCCCTTCTGATCCCAGGTTAAAAACTGTTCAATCAGCCATTTGATGTCAAAGAAAACAAACTAGGCTATGTCCACTTTCACAAAACCCCTATTCATAGATGAATAAACAGCTTCAGAAACTGTAGCTCCCAGCAAAATGTGCCAGGAAAGAACAATACCGGGAACAAAGCATGTGAAGGCAAAAAGACAGATTGCGCTATTTAAATGACAAGAGAGTAATCAGGATGAGGGGAGGGTGGGAGCCCTCCTAACCCTAGTAAGGAAAAAACAAAAAACAAAAAAACAGGAATATACATACATCACAATTTCAAATATAATTTCAAAATGATCTCAATGAACCAACTCTATCTAGAACTTGGCTTCTCAAATGCAGGAGCCACCAAAACCTTAGTCCAAAGTCCCATCATTTCTAGAAGAGCTGTTGGTCTATTTTGTTGTGGTCATTGTTATTGTTGTTTGTCAACCCCCATATTAAAGCAGGGACCCCAGCTGGATGCCTGTACCTGGAACAGAGCTGGATTTTTAGCACCTAAAACAGTATGGGGAACTTAGTAGGTCCTAAGTAATTAAGAAACTCTTTTTACTGCGGGGTGGAATTGTCATCAACATGAGTCTTCCTCCTAAACTCCTGCTCCTAAGCTCTTTCCAAGAAAGCTCCTACACAACTGTTCTATAATACCACCTTCCTCTAAGGTCCTCAAGGGAAATGAAGGAAAAGTGTCCAAGGAAACATGAGGTAAAAACAGAAAATGGAGTTGATTTAACATACCGCTATACCAATAAAAGGGAGGATGGAATTGTTTTAAGTTATTAGTAAACATGTGAAAGGTGACTATCAGCCACAACAGTGTTAAATATTCAAACAAAAATAAAATCCAATTGTACTACATTAATATGTTATGAATTAATCATTAATAAGTGTATGAACATTTATATGCTGTACATTCCCTGTATATTCCCTATACTGCCTCTTTTAACTGTAACTAAAACCTGTGTATTGGTTATTATCAATCCTATTTTACAGATGAAAAAACTAAGGAAGGTTTGAAGACCAGAAGCTATTTACCCAACCTATCAAACCAGTTAAGTGTTAAACACAGAACGTGAATCCAGTTTTATTTTATTCCAAAGCCTGTATGTTGTTCACTGCAGCTGCTTGACCTTGTCTCTCAAAGCATTTAAAATGAGGGATGCAGGGCGCCTGGGTGGCTCAGTCGTTCAGCGTCTGCCTTCCGCTCAGGTCATGGTCCCAGGGTCCTGGGATCGAGCCCCACATCAGGCTCCCTGCTTGGCGGGAGGCCTGCTTCTCCCTCTCCCACTCCCCCTGCTTGTGTTCCTGCTCTCGCTATCTCTCTCTCTGTCAAATAAATAAAATCTTTAAAAAAATAATAATAAAATAAAATAAAATGAGGGACGCCTGGGTGGCTCAGTTGGTTAAGCATCTGCCTTCAGTTCGGACTGTGATCCCTGGGTCCTGGGATTGAGTCCTGCATCCAGCTCCTTGATCAGTGGGGAGCCTGCTTCTCCCTCTGCCCCTGCCACTCCCCGTTTGTGCTCGCTCTCTCTCCCTCTTTCTCTGACAAATAAATAAATAAAATCTTTTTTTTTGAAGCATTTAAAATGAAGCCACTATGAATAATCAAAGGCAAGCAGGAAATGTGTTTATATATGTGCGTGTGTATGTCTCTGTGTATGAGTCTACCAAAGAGAAATACTAACTGCATCACAGACAAAAAACTACAACATGACACTCAAAATAAAAATTAGATTAGGAGTGTCAGAAAAAGAAATGATGCATTCCACCACTGAGCTGTATTCTGAAACAATACAACACAATCAACAAACTACAATAAAATAAATAACTAGCAGTTAAGTGTCTCAAAGGCTAAAGGGTCAGGTTTAAAATACATAGGGTCCTGCTTAGGCTGTATAATTGGAAAAAAGAAACAAACAAGAAAGAAAAGGCCTATGTCCCCTGAGTATAAATCGTAAGGGGATAATCAGGAAACACAAAAGTCAGAAGTTCTTTGCAGCTGCCCCTTCCCACATTTGCCAATTAGGAAAAACAGAAAACATCCACCGTGGCCAGAGGAGGAAGCAGGTCCGGAGCGAACAGAACAAGAGAACAGAAGCCTGTGGAGTCCGGTCCCAATTCCCGGCCTTTGACCTTGGCCAACTCATTTAACATCCATAAGCCAAAATGTCCTTATCGGCCACAGAGAGATGCCTTCACTGCACATCTCTGGGGCTTGTGAAGACTGGGAAAGGAACAAACAGGGAAGAACTCTGCAGAGTTCATGTAAATAAAACTTGTTTTATTTATTAGAAGCTGACATAATGGCTAAACCTGGGGTGAAAACTCTAGGAATACCACGAAAGGAGAGTAAAATGGGAAATCAAAGTGAGAACACGAATGTCCCAGAGCTAGAACCCAACAGGCTAGGAAGGGTCAGAATTGGAGGTGGTGACACAGAGTGTGAGACAGAGGAGAGAGGCCCCCACGGCTCCATGCAATGGTGTGAACACAGAAACGGAGTATTCCAGGGGAGACTCGAGCATGAGGAGGTCACTCCCAATCTCTTAAGGAGACAGAACTGAGACACCTGGCCTTAGAACAGCACACACTTTTCAATTTTGAGAACTACTCTGTTTATTCCCAAAATAACATTCTGTGTCATTTTCCACCAACAGTGAAGTCTTTCTGCAAAATCTGCTAATCATGGTAAACCCTGTGTAGTCAGTCACAAATGCCCACCTCATCCTCCTATGTCCACCTGACGATCTGGACAACACACTTCAACCACCGTGCCCACTGACCACCCCTTCTTACTACCTGTTTTAAAAAACAAAACAACACAACACACCAAAAAAAAAAGGTTGTTAGGAGAACTCTTCAAGTCCCAAAACATAGGTAAGAAATCTCAGGGGAAATGTCTCAGTTAGCGTGCAGAGAATTACCTGATGCTGTTGCTAGCTGGTGCTTATAAACATACGCACACACCCTAAGATTGCCTTTTTGCTTTAATTAGTGGCCAAGTCAAGCATCCTCTAAGTGTCATCATTTAAGGGCTTAAATAAAACAGACTGAGCCCATGTCAGATCAGACCACAGAACATACCAGCAGAGTATAAAAATGGGTTCGCAGTTATGTGCCACAGCAGTGCTTCTCAGACTGTAATGAGCACACGGATCACCAGGGGATCTTGTGAAAATTCGGATTCTGATTCAGCGGGCCTGAGCTTCTGCATCTCCAACAAGCTCCCAGGTAATGTGGACTGCTGGTCATGGACTGGGTGCCAGATAGCAGCCGACGTTTGACTGCACGAGCCAGCCCTAATGCTGGGTCCACTGGAAGTCCAGTTACTATCAAAAAAAAAAAAGGTTGAGATAATATGGTTTGGATGTATTTACCCAAAGAAGATTCAGGATACTGGCAAAAGACGTCTATCATTCAGCTAACCAAGAATCTTCTTGATCAGCTGCAAACCCTGCCCTGGGTCCTCTGAGTGGTTGTCAAATGGCAGGGAAATCTCCTGGGTACTGACTGGTGACCCTGAATGGAGGAGTCAGCCTTATGACAGACCTGACGGCTCAGAGAGGAAAATGTGTGACCTGGAGCTACAGAATAAAAGAGAGGAAGCAATAAAAACAAGGAGCAGTAATTTATTGAGAACTTTCATAAGACCACACAATCTGGGGTAGAACGGGGATACAGCTCCTGAGTTTGATTGCAGAGCCCACCCTCACCACAGAGCTCCACTATCCTGGCACAGACCATAGAATTGATGAAGTCATGGGGGAGGGGAGGGTGTTTACGAGCACCACCACTTAAAAATACAGGACCCTGAGGAAGTTCTCTCTCTGTCTGTCTCTCTCTCCCTCTCTCTCCGCTTCAGTGTCTCCATCTTTAATATGGGTTAATAATTGTTTGTACAGCTGATTGGGTTTTCTGAGAATTATGGAGTCAAAATAAAGCACTTAGCACAGTGGCTGACACATAATAAATGCTTCAATAACTGTTTTTCTATTATTATGATTATGATAACTCTATGGCGAGAGCCCAGGAAATACACGAGAATCAGGAAGAGAGTGGAATAAAAAGAGTTTCTGACCCACGAGGGAGATGTACAACTGTCGAAAGAAAAGGACCTCCTTTTTTCACTGGCCACAGAGGCTAAAGGGAACAGTATAACCTAACTGGAATCAGGATTGCTGGAAGAATTGGCCTCCGTATGGACACACATACACCAGACAACTCTCTAAGAGTCTAACCCCGGAGTCGACCTACAATGTACCAGATCTCTACAGGTAACGCTGAAATTCCAGCCCCTCAGGACCAAACAGTGAGGCACTTTAAGACTGCTGATGTCCCACATACTAACAGACATTACAGGGAAGAAGAGCGCCTGTGGCCAGATGACAGAGAATGAGCAAATGCCCCGAATCCCACAGGCTCACACCTGAAGCAAGAAACCCCTTCACTCCTGGTTCGTGATGGGGAAATGGTACCCATGCTAGGAGCAAGAAGCTGGCCAGAGGGGCTTCTGTTCTGCCACTGACGCTGGGCACTAGAAATGTGCTCACTTGACAAAACACTTATTGAGAGACTGTCCTGCCAGGCCAATCAACGACCAATGGCGCCTCCGGGACAAATCAGTGGTCCTTCCTCCTTGTCAAAGACACTCCCCAGTGGTCTGAAAACAGAAACACAACGTGGGTGGCTGCATTTTACAATGCAACACCTAATATTTAAATAAAACTTAGAGACAAAGACTTCACACAACTACAGTTTTTGACCTGAGAAAGCTGAACAGGAATGAAAACAAGGCCATTTCTAAAACAGGGCAGACCCACGGGGTTGATGTAGGTGGGAAATTACGACATGTATCCTACTTTGAGAACTAACCTATAAAGATCAGTACATATAAATTACTGTGTGTCAGACACTACTTGGCTGCTTACCGATATCTATTCTCCACCCCGCCCTCTTCCTCACTGAACAAACTCCAATTTTTTTCAGGGCCACAATGGACCCAAATTAAAAAAAAAAAAAAAAAACACACACACACAAAAAAAAACCTCCCTTTCAGCACGAGGCTATGTGACAGTTCTGGCAACTGAGATGTAAGCCAAGTCACCTGATGGAGCTTCTAGGAGAAGACTTGACTACCAACAGTCTTTCGCCACCAGTCTCCTTCCTCCTAAAGATGGGATACTGGAGGTGGAATAGCCATCTTACACTGTGGCATTAAGTATGAAGATGAACACCATTTGCTGCCCTGCATGCTAAGAATGGCTCAACAGGATGGCAGAAGGAGCCTGGGCCCCTGACGGCACCATGGAGCCCCCAGCCACTTCTGAATTCCCCATCTCCAGACTTCTTTTACAAGAGAAAATCAACAGTCTCATTTGGTTAAACTCCTATAAATTGGATTTTCAGTTATGGGCCCCTGACCCTATTCTCATCTGAAGATCATTTGCTTTGCAAAAGCCTTTAGGATTACTTAAAGGCAGGGTGTCATGAACTATGAATTAATTTGACTTACAAATAATCCTCCCAAATAGGTAGGATAGGACACACATACACCAGACAACTCTCCTCCACTAACAGGATATTAATAACACACATCATGGGAATCCTGAAGGTCTGCTCTAGAGTGAGAACCTCCTGAGAGGATGGAGTAAAGCTAAGGCACCTGGGCTCAAATGCTGCTGCCCCTTCCCCTCTGTGTGACACTGATTAGGGTACTAGACCTTTCTGTGCTCAGAATGCAACTGCAAAATGGAAATACCAGTTCCTACCTCAAAACGTGGTTACGCACATTAAATGAGTGAATACTCGTACGATGCAGAGAAATGAGCCTGACACACGGCTAAGATTTACTGAGGATCTCCTAATATTATGAAGAAACTGGTGACAGTACAGCTAAAGATTCATACACACAAAAATTATAATAATAAAATAATAATAAAATCCACATGAATTCATTCATTCTGTAGACACAGACTCTTTTTCCTAATGCATGCACCTGCCTCCTAACATTAGCACGAGAGAAAGAGCAAGCTGTAAGCCGTGGTCAGGGTTAGACAGTTTAAAATCCAAGGCTTTCTACGGTGCTCACAATCACCATACCATACTCATGCAACACAGAGCGTGGCAAAGTCTACATGAAGAATTTCTTATCAGGAGGATGTATTTATAAAGTGGGGGTTGGGTAGAGAGCTTAGCAAAGATATCTAAAAATAGCTGTATAAGCAAACAAGTTTGCATAAATCAACAGTTGATTGAAAAGTCAGTATTTTCACATCATTACTATGCGAAATATTCAAGTAATGTGTCATGCAATTTGGGAGAATGTAGCCTCTTGTCTCAGAGTCTGCCACACTTACTCCTGTTATCTTTTCTAGGTTCTAACACAGAAAGTATCCAGATCATTCTATGAGGCTGTACTTAAGGGTCCAAAAGGGCACAAGCATTCTGTATCAAGTTGCCACATGCTAACCACAGGTATGTAACCTAATCAGTGTCCAGTGCTCCTGATACCAAGATATTGAACCCCTTGTAACTGCTCTTTTACGTCAGTAGGAAACTTCCTAGATGAGAGCAATCTCATGTCAAACCTCTGAATCTGCTCTTCCTTTTAGATGCTAAGCAAACATAACAGGATGTGAATTTACACTTCTCTTCTCCCAATCCCAAGAGGGACCAAAAAAAAAGACACGCATCTTGAGGGTGTGAAGATCTCACTCCATAATCTTCCTGTGTGCCTGTTACCATTTTTCTAGTTGTACATTATCAAGTAGGCTGGCAGGGGCTCAGGAAAACCAGAGTGATAAACTGTAACCCTTTCTTGACTCCGAAGCAGTACAGCTCCAACAGAAATATACTGCATGCCACAAATGTGACTCATGTGTGTCATTTTCCACTTTTTAGGAGCCACAATTAAGAATATAAAAATAAACAGGTGAAGTTAATTTTAATCTTGAACGGTACGTAACCCAATATATCCAAAACAGTCACCTCAACATGTAGTAAATATGAAAAATTGAGGTAACATACATTCAGGTTTTTTTTTTTTTGCACTAAGTCTTCACATGTGTATATCTTACACTTACAACACATTACAATTCTGACCAGCCCACCTCAAAGGGCTAAAGAGCCACATGCTAGTAGCTACCCCACTGGACGGAACAGCTCTGGAGGTCAAAAACGGCTGAAAATCATCCGTTTCTTGAGTTGCTTCTATGACAGACACACAGGTAAAATAATCAACCAACTCAGTCTTGGCAAGTCACTCGTTGGGGAATCTGGTGGTATCTTGAACGGGGAAACACACCCCATTGCAAAATAGGGCCTGGGACCTTACAGCTTTTAAGTCAATGTTTTGCGCCAAGCACTGGCTATGCTATTTACTCTTTACCTGGGCAAACGTAGTCACCAACACACACATTTGTGTTGTTTTCATCCTCACTTTAAATAAGAACCCAGGAAATTTAGGTCCCTGAACAAAGCTCTTCTCAGCAGTGTATCCCTCTCCTGCTCCCGGTGGAAATGATCAGGCATTCCCCACTGACACATCCCATAATGTCCCATATATCTAGAACATCCCATTCCACGTGGTCTGTGGGTACCATGCAGGCATGAGAAATGAGATGTAGAGATGACCAGTTTCCATTACGCCCCAGCCATGGGTGAGACAGGTGGAAGGATGACCTGATCTTACCAGTGTCACCTACCTCACAGGCTTACTGTGATGACCAAGGGCAGTAAGAGAGAGAGAGTTCTTAGGAAACTGTAAAGCGCTATACAATTCTAGTTATTATTATTGGGAAGGACACCATTCCTCACCTGCAAGAGCAGATAGAAGTAACAAAAAAAATATAGTAACTTGAAACAAAGAGATGATAAGCTGAGAGGGGGATGAGGAACCCATGAAAACAGCGGTTCATTTTCTGGGCTTTTTCTTTGGAAGAGTACAAAGAGGCTTGTGGAGGAAGCTCTAGCACTCTTCCTTGGAAATCCTGGGAGACATAAAAAGCAAGCCAGACCACTCGGAGTACGACCTTCTATCCCTGCTCCATCCCCACCCCACTTTTTTTCCTCACCCCAAATACCGTACAACTCAGGACAGTTATTCTAAACAGATCTCTCCTTCCCAGGGTCTAAATGTGGCCTAAAAATGCAGCGCCACAGGGGGTACCGGCACCTTCCCGAGCAAGTCACCGAGTCCGGGGAGTCTGGCTCAAGGCTTCTCGCCGGCGCAGACGCCTCAATGTTCTCTTGTGCTGCCCTCTCGCCTCCTCCAACAAAAACAGAGAGGCTCGGCGAGCCGCCGGAGTCTCCCTTTACCTGTCCAACCGCCCCGTCATGCCTGAGAACTACTCTGGGCAGGCGGCCTTTACGAGGTCCGAGGGGAGCCACCCACACAAAGGCGCCTTGTGCCTCTCCGCTCCGGGACGGGCAGCCTAGGAGCCGGGCACCGCACCCAGGCAGGGAAGGCGCCCCCGGTCCCGCAGAGCCCTCCCCGGCAAGTCCCGAGATCGGCATCCCCAACCCTCACTCTCCATAGAGAGGCCATCTCCACTCCACGGCTTCATGATGGGGCTCCCCGCGGCTTGCCACAACCCGCACCCCCAAAAGCAGGCACAAGGATTAGGGGTGCACAAGCCGCTCCGAAGAAGTTTGCATTGTCACCGCGCAACGCTCTCAACGCGTCTCGCCTGAAGGAGCAGCTGAGCACCCTCCCTACCCCAGCTCCCCGCCCGCCCCATCCCTGGGCTGGACACGCCACCGCCCCCCACCCCCAGACCCACTCACCTCTAGTCCAGTCCACCACTTGCTTGGGGCTCCACTTGGTCACGGGTTCCATGGTAAACGGTTTTGCTCCCAGCGAGGCTAGAGTCGGCGGTTAAAGTCTTGCTACCAGGGCCCGCTGCCCCTTCCCAAGAGGGCGCGCCCCGCAGCTGGTCCCCGTGCGCCGGAGCGCCCCGTCAAGGCTGCATGGCCGCGGTCAGCGGGTCATCCCAGCGCGGCTCGGCCGGGACAGCGCGGTCCCCTCCTGGGCGCACGGGACAGCCGCGTGGCTCCGCCTCCAGCTGCCACCGTCCAGCTGCAGCTCCTCCTCCCCCCAACCCCGCCGCCGCAGGGAGCCCGGGCACAGCTGCCGCTCCTGGGCGACGGCAGCTGCGGGGACGCGGGACCGTGACCCCAGGCCCCCTGGCCTCGGCTCGGCACGGGACTCTTGGGCCCAGCTGCTCCCCGCCGCTCGACTGCGCCGATGGCCCGCACCACTTCCTCTGGCTCTCCCGCCGCGCGCTCCGCTCCCCCTTCAGCTCCTCCTCTGCGCGGCGTGCTCTCCCGGGGGTCTCCGCTCCGCGTGCGCTGGCGTCCCCGAGCCTCCCCGGCCGCAGGTCCCACCTCCTGCGCCTCCCTCCGGGGCTGGACTTGGGCAGGGAGGAGCGCGGGCCGAGCGCGCTCGGGTTACAAAGTTTCAGCTCGGGTCGCTGCTCTCGGAATAAAAGAGGGGCGGGGCCGAGGACCCAGTGAAACTCGTGGGAGCGGGTGGTTCCGCCCGAAAAGGCCGACTCCGGTTACTTTCCCTCTCTGAGACCTTCGCACACACAGTCGGAGTGTCCCGGGCCCTACTTTCCTTTTCAAGAGAGGGGTTGTAGATCGTGCGTGCATCCTGGACAGCCCTTTGGCTTGGGTGAGGCCTGGGTCCTATTGGTAGCAGAACAGTCTGTTTCGGTGTGAGCAACAATACACTAAAAAAAAAAAAAAAGTATGATCTGCATGTTCTGTTCATTTTCAATGATTTGCATCAGTATTGCTCTGCGATTAAACCTTCCTCGTTTTAAAAATCTCAAGGCAAAATTATTTTGCTTCGTATTTTAGGTAACACTGTGACAATGTAACTTTTTTCCTCCAAAGACAGCAAGTTTACCAGGAGATTCTCGGCTTCATCCATTCTAATCTGCAGTGGAAAACTTGCCCTCTATGTATATATTTTCATTTTTTACTCATTTTCAAACTAAGCCTTCCCTGTTGAATCTTCAAGGCCAGTGTCAAAGAGCAATTATCTCTCATTTTAACTCGGGATATGGGTCAAGTTCTCTGGACTCTGCGATGGGTTGAACCACAAAGTCCCATGAATCTTCCTTGTTGCCAAGGCCCATCTTCCTTTAAGATGGGCCTTGGCAACAAAAGGCCCAAAGCATGTGAAGGTGCCCAACCCAGAATGTTGGCAGGTAGGCAAAGCCAAAGGAGTTGGGAAGGAAATGGCCTCACTTCTGGGGCAAGGGGAAATGGAGCCAGTTACTTCATTCTCAGCTTTAATCCACTCTCATCTGAAATGAAAAACTTTGGCCCCCTATATATCCATTCCCATCCCCTTCTGTTTTCCTACTTAGGTCTTGGGTGGCAGTCAGGGGTGAGGGGGCTGTCACCCAAAGCAAGCACCCAGGGGTTGAAGACCAGCTCCCACTCCATCCCTGCACTAATGGAAAGCAATCACTTTCTGACATGCCATAGGAAGGGCTGCCCTGAGCCTGAGGTGCTTGGCAGGCTGGAGTTGGTATGGTAATGGTTACCCTGCAAGACTCAACTCCCTTGTTTTAGTCATGCTACTGCAATGATATTTCAACTTGGTAGTAAAGTGAATCATAATAAATTGGTAGCTTTTAGGATGATTTATGGCTGTATTGTAATAGTCATATTTGCAAAGTGAGCTGATGCTCATTTGGATTAGTCATCAATCTTGAAGGAAAATTTGCTAGCCAGCCAAAACAAAAAACATCAACAAAACAACAAAAATCAAGTGCACAATTGCCGTCAGAAGACTGCTGTCAGAAGGGCCCTTCCACATTTCATGGGACTCAATCTGGGGCTAAAATGAACCCTGAACAGAGGGAAAATCCTAAATTTGAATATTTACCTCTCCTCCTTCAAAGCCTCTCCTGAACATCCTCCCCAGCCGGAGTGAGCTCTACCACCCACTCATAGAGATTCTTTTGGCACTTAAGTCTTACCTTCAATTATGATTATTTATTCACACCTTCCCCTTGGAGACTTAAAGGCAGAACCTACCTGATATTATGCAGAGCTTTCTCTCCTCTCCCTCTTCCTACCACCTAGCTGGTAGCACCTCACACCAAGTCAAAGGTGTGGTTAGTATTTATTCATGTGAATTCCTCCTATGTGCTAGCCACTGCATTCACTAAATATTTGTTGAATTAGTGTGATAGGTACTATTTATACAAGTCTGTTGGGATGTTTATGTTGAAAAGATGGCTAGCAGCAGGCCTAAGCGTCTGTTGTACACTCTGATGAGCTGGAGTAAGAAGAAAAAAACACTTTAAAAAGCGAAACAACATCAGACCCACCTTCCATGCAACTTACCTCTAGGACTGAGGAAACACAACAACACAGATATGCAGTTATCAAATACAATGATTTTTTTTTTTTTTTTGAGCAAGAGTTATTGGCAGACTAGCAAGCTTGACAAAGGCAATGACAAACTTCCTGGTAGAGTAAACGACCTTCAAAAAAGATGACCTTTTAAACTTAGTAATATCACTTGTTAACCATCTTTACGGCAAAAAATAGGGAAAAGGACTTTGACATTTGTCATTGCGTTCACTAGAAAATATAACCAATCTGATCCACACCTTTTGTTACAGCAATCACTGTATGTTGTCATCTTTAATTATGATTAGGATGACCACATAATTTATCTCCAAACCAAGATATTCCTGAATATCTAATGCTAAAGGGGAGCTATCAACAACTGCCTGGAATAACATGAATAAATTGGGCCATATGGTCCCTGTGATTATGAAGAAAAGTCAAGTGTTAATAATTTTGCCACAGAATTTTACTTGACGTTTTTCACAACGTTTTCAAATTCATTTGCATTAGTCATTAAAAAGCTAAAATTCTGAGAGTCAAGCAAGATTTTGCAAAATTTTCATCCCACTGAGTCAACACACTGTCTGTACTCAGTACATAAACACATCGTAGCTAAAGAGGAAGGCCATGCTAAGATCTCTAACCCAGAAGACCAATTAACTATCTAAATGAATTAGCGTTCTGTTTACACTTCAAGTCCTGAAGGCTAATTACTATTTAAATAAGGCCTTCTACTTTAATTACAGCTGTTAGCATGTGAAAGTTCTAGGGAGGCCTCCCTTCCCCCGTCTGAAATGCAAACTTGAAGACATCCAAAGTCACTAATGGCATATAATAAAGGCAGAATCTTCGGTAAATAGCTTTGGAAATTAAAGTGTATGCAAAAAGATCATTTGTAAATTTGCTAAGTTTTCTTCTCTGCTAGCTGTAATCTATAGCTCTACTATTACACTGTGTATGTACGCATGCGCAGAACCCAACTGCAGCTACACTATCTTCTTCAGAAGCAGAATTACTCATTTGGACCTTGATGTGTACCACAATTCATGATATATAGCAAGAAGCTGAATAAATCCTCTTCTAAATTGAACTAAATTTATAGAACTGATACTAGAACCCACATCTCCTAGATTTCTCTTCCCACTCCTTCATTTTTCTAACTTTGGGTCTCCTTGCACATAGAGGTCATTTATTCAACCAATGAAATATTCATTCAGTACTTGTAGGGCATTAAACTAGGCCCAAGGAAGATTCAGAAACAAATGCCAGTTATTTATATATATATTTATATAATATATATAGTTATATATAATATATATACAGTTATATATATTATATAGAGAATTATATAATATATAGTTATATATATATAAAATATATTTATATATTTTTTTAAGTAGCCTCCACACCTCCAGTGTGTAGCCCAAACAGGGCTTGAACTCACAACTCTGAGATCAAGACCTGAGCTGAGATCAAGAGTAGGACACTTAACCGACTGAGCCACCCAGGTGGCCTTAATGCCAGTAATATTTATAGGTCAATGGCATCGTGTGACTTTCTGAGGGGGGAATTTCATCAGTAGTCTTTATCAGAGGAAAGTACCCTGGTAGACCCAGACAAGAAAGTTTTAAGGGTCGATATGATATTAACATTTTAAACCAGTCCATATTTTATTATTTTTTTAATTTGAGAACTAAGGATGGATCATTTTGGATAAGTGGTCATTACTATAATTTATTTGACAAACACGGGAGTAGCAAAATAAGGAAGCTTTTAAACAGATTATTAATCTGTAAAGATCCAGTCTCCTTCCCTAGTCCAAAGAACTGGTTCTTGTTGTTTTTTTTTTTTTAAGGATGAAAGAAAAAATAAATAATGCAAGCTACTCCAAAAATTCAGCTTTATCTTACAATCTGAGGTCCTCTTAATTATCCTTTTCTTCCCATCACATCGCCTTTCCTATTTTCAGAACATTCCAAACTATTTAATGTTTTCTTCACATATAATTGTCTCATGTATGTCTCTTGAGTTATCTTTTATCTTGAGCAATCCCACACAATTCTGCAAAATGCTGCCGGTGAAACATCCTGTAGTTAGAGCGACGCATTCTTATCTATGACATTACCTCACTGCAAAACCATCGGTTAACTAAATTATCCAGGCTGCTGATGATCTCGTCTTTCACTCAATTCCATTTGGTCTGAATTCTTCACACCATGGTAATATAGTTATCTTCCTAAATACCCAGGTTCCCCGTCAGAAAATTCAGGTAGTCAAGTCCTCAAACTTTTTTTCTGTGTTGTTTTTTTTCCTTAAGTCTCACAAGTGCTGCCCTACTTACTCGAATTCTTTTGATCATTCAGTTACATTAATTAAGTCATCCTACAGTAGGAAAGCCGATATTTGGCTTTCTTTCCTGAGCCCTATCTGTAACTCCGAGATCAATGTCAATTGGATAAATGTTCAAAAACCTCACCTATTTTAAATCAGACTTGGAGATGCTGATTAGACTTTTCTAACACAAAAGAGAAACAGTGACACCATTAAATCCTATTTTCCAGGATTTATAGTTGTAGTTTTGAAGAGTTGTTATATGAAGCAATACCCACAGAAGAGGTGAGCTTCCTGACCCACAAACGCTAAGGCAGCTAACAAAGAAGTATGCTATAGACAAAGAAGGAACCATCAACCCTGCATTTTCCCCAAAGGATTTATGCTCCTTTTCATTCCAGCTATCAAGTTGCAGAGTGTCCAAAAGGAACAGAATGCCATTTGCTCCAGTTGTTCTTATAGTTTCATTTTAACTTTGTGGGACTCATAATCTCCAAGCAAGTACATATACTACCAAGAGTTTCACACAATGATTTTTATTTCAAATATAAACTCCATGTTGATAATGACAAAAATTTGGGGTAAAAAAAAAAAAAAGACTGATTTTTTTTAAGTCATTCTAAACCTAAAAATAAAACTATAATTAAAATGGGCCAAGTAAGCTTTTAACATTAGAAATAAAACACAGGTTTGAGTTTCATAAACACACTAACCCAAAATTTTACAAAATTCTTTACGGTGTCAACAAGAACATAAAAATGATTGTTTATTTAGTATTTTCTATTTTTCTAATGTGAGTTTTGCCTAACAAAAATATTTATAATGAAATTTCAAATCAAAGTGAAATATATATGCAAATGCTCCAGACTGTAATTAAGCAACTTTAATGAACTTGGAGTTCAGTTTCCAGGATGTTTGCTTTTATTATGTAGTTCCAATTGCATTCCGAGGAGGGCCATTTCTTTAAGTTTTGACCTACTAAAAGGTATGTAAAT